AGGAGGAGGAGGAGGAGGAGGAGAGAGAAAGGGAGTCAATGGGACTGCGTGTTGCAGCGGCACCAGATGCACCAACAGGCACACACAGAGGAACTGAAGGAAAGAGGGAGATGAAAGAGAAGTGCGAAAGCAAGAAAAAAAGCCAAGCCCAGGAGCCCCTTTTTTTTTGGCTCACCATCAGAGAAGAGACACCCGGGTCCTCCCCCTCTATACGTCAAACACCCAGACGTCACTGCCACTCTCAAAAAGATGCGGTCCGTAGCGACTCAGAAACGCGGAAAGCAGCAGAAACCCACCAAGAAGCCACACACAGAGCCAAACCCAAGCGGCGGAGGAAACACGCACGACAGCCGTCAACGAACAGCAAGAAGAGCTTAATAGACATAGTACCAACGACACTCTTGTCAAATCATCCAGAACCCTGGCCGAAGCGAAAGGGGTTGACGATATCTTGACGAGGAGGAGAGCAGAGAAAGCAGCAGCAACAACATACCAAATCGGCCTATCGGCATACACTGCGATAAGAACGTAAGCAAAGCGATGAAACATCATCAGCTGCAGCATGAAGCCGTCGCAGCGCCGCTCATCGTGTGTTGAATCCCCACACTCAGTGAGGGAACCTATCGCCACATCCTGTTGAAGGGAATGTAACAAGATCAGCAAGTACCCAATACCAAGGCACCAACGATGAAAGGGCGACAAACATGCCTCGCCCACAGCAAACTTCATGTTGTCTCCATCACACGGCAGTACAGTACTCGCGACGGAAAGTGTTGGAATGCAAATCCATGTGCTCAACACGGCGATAATGCGAATGAAAAATGCCCTTTTATCCGCGAAATTAAGCATGTTTGTCCGTTCCATGGGTAGAAGCACATCGCAGCGGAAGGCGGTGAGAATCAAACCGCACACTGGGATGACGCCGAACACCCACAACCGTGTGGCATGGTGTGGGTAGATGATGAAGCCCAAATGTGCGAAGGCGCCAACGCTGTGGAAGGCCGACACCGCTACACACAGCGGGAGGAGGACGATGTCGGCGAGGATCGTGTGGATGGCGCCCTGCCCCTNGGAAGGCCGACACCGCTACACACAGCGGGAGGAGGACGATGTCGGCGAGGATCGTGTGGATGGCGCCCTGCCCCTTGAGCCCTACTGGCGCCAGGAGCGCAGTGAACGCCGACACGCGCGCGAACGTCAACCGCCCGCGCTCACGCCAGAGAAACTGCAGGCTGCCGCGAAGCGTGCGGGCGAAAATAAAACACGTCAGCGACGCGCCACCAATGGCATTCGCGTTTGCAACATTGTTGTGGCCAAAAAGTAGGTACGCGAAGAGGGCAGCCGCTGCGGCGTACAGCAAGAAGGGCGGGTAGCGCGCAAAAAAACGAAATTGCCGACCGGAGCAACTGCCCAACTCCCCCACGTCCCCTAGCTCGACATCAAACATGCTGCGCCTGCTCTCGTTTCCGCTTCCCCACGCTAGACACACTGATCGGCAATGACGGGAAAAAAGGAAGAAGGAAATACAAATGCGCACACACGCACAGACATCTATATATATATATATATATNTATATATATATATACATATATAAATGTATTCAAGAACACAAGATCGACTCACTTCATTCCTTCGCATTGGGGCTCATGTGATAGGCATGGCGTCGAAGCGTTCATCTCCACACAAAGGTGCCTTGCGGCGTCTGCTCCCTAATTATGACGGCTGCCTCACGGAGGCGCCGGAACGCCATCGGGGCGTACGGCTGCATCACTGCGGGTAGCTCGCTGATGTAGAATTGTATGTCGCGTCCTGGCATTGCCTGCACGAGGCCAATGATGCTGTTCTCCGCCGACGCTGCCAACGATACGGCTGCGTCGCTCTCCTCGCGGGTCGGCGGCGTGCCGCACAGCGTGGCGGCGTCGTGCTGTAGGACGCTGAGGTCCTCCTCCTCCGCACGGTGACGCCGAATCGCGTGGATCTTGCGCGGCATCGAGAAGACTGGGTACCACCGCGGCGGTGCCTCCGGTCCGTCGATGCGGTCGATTGTCACCTGACCGTAAAGCTTCAGCTCGCCCCACAGCACGCGCGTCACCTCCATCTGCCGCTCCTTGCCGAAGTAGCGGTTGGCGTAGTACACTGCCGTCATGCCGGGGTCGCGGCGGACGGTGTCGAGCAGCGCGGGCAGCGTCAGCGCGCGAGTCGCTTGATCGGACGTGGTGCGCAGCACAGGGCAACACCGCATCTATACAGATGCTCTTTCAACAGGAGCAGCGAGGCGAGAAGGGATCAAGAAAAAAAAAAATGAAAAAAAGTCAGGAGGCTGAACCGCAAGAGTACCACATTGATGACGCCGCCCCAGTAAAGGGGAGGAGATGCACGCACCTCCATCGCCACACCACAATCCTCTTAACAACACGGTACATCGATAAAAAAAACACACACACAGAGATGCATGAAGAGGGCGGAGGGTAAGTCACCTAGTTGGTAAGCCTCTCTTTCCCTTTTTTCCCCCTTCCCCTCCGCTGATGTCTTCGCCTCACCCCATTCTTCATTCTTCCTGTCTTCCTTCCGCTTTTCTTCTGCCACAAATTTCTTTTGGTTTCGTGGTGTGACTCGTTTACCTTTCTCTACTCCCGCGACTTCAGAACGACATTCGAGTTTTTCAGCTGCGCGGTGAGCAGCGCCAGGCGTGCGCGAACAGCGCTGTAGCGGTAGCCAATCTGCTCCCGCACTACCTCCGGCGAAGACGCACGAAACGGCAGCGTCAGTACGCCGACGAGTTTATATTCGAGGTTTTCTACGAACTCCATGTTTGCCGTCCCGTTTTCGTCTAGCAGGAGCACCATCAAGAACCGCTGCGGCTCGCGGATGCAGCGGTTGAACATCTTCAGGAGTGTCATCAAGAAGTCGGGGAAGTCGCACACGAGGCTCTGGTGCTCACGCAGCCGCAGGAACCCGGCATGGTTGATGATGCACGTGTAGTGGAAGAAGAGATCCGACTCGCTCGTGAGCTCGACGCGCATGGCGGAAAGGCTGTGGTCGTCACCAAAGGACAGCACCTTCACCTTCATGCCCTCTAGCGATCCGGAGCCTGCGTCGCCGCCACGCATCGCGCGCAGCTCGCACGGCACCTCACGGTCGTACACCACCTTAAAGCCGTCCGCGAGTGACGGGTCCGACAGCTCGATCGCACGGAAGTCCTGCTCGAGCTGCACAATGAGGGCGTCGCTCATGTTCTACGCACGCAATGCTCCCGTGCCGAAATATATATATATATATATCTGTGCGTGGACAGGCGTCAAGTCACAGAAAAAAAACTAATGAGAGAAATAAGAGCACTATGAAGTCATGATTGATATTGATACAACGTGGATGCATGTAGGAAAGAATGGATAGCAGAAGAGAAGCCACACAAAAGATAAACCGTGGAACACTACACTCTGTACCCCTTATGTACGGTAGGCCTCTTGCCGTACAGCTCCTCCATGATCTCCTGCTGCCGCTTACAGTCGATGCAAGGCCCTTCCTTCGCCCTCTCATCAGCCCATCTAAAGGTGAAATAAAAACCACCGACAGTGAAGAGTAGGGCCACCGGCACCATCATATAAGTCGCCTTGGGCATGCGCCAGCGATGACGCTGCGCCGCAAGTCGTGCGTCGCGCACAACGTTGCTGTAGGGAACCTTCTCTGCCCCCGCATTCTCCTTTGACGAAGCGCCCATCACAAACACTGGCTGCACCCTGCTAGTCAGAACGCAAAGAAAAACAACCCCCCCAAAAAAAAGCAAGAGATCAATGAGCATTGAATAGTTTGAAGGGCGTGCAGAGCCTGTAGTAGTGGCGGGAGCATCCTGCCTGATCTTGTACCCCAGCGTTCTTCTTCTTCTTTCTCACACGCACCCAACCTGAAGTATGTATATATAAATAAATATATATATACACACCGTTTTTTCTCTCAAGATACATTCCCTTTGAAATCGGGCATCATTCATCTTCTTCGTTCGTCGGCTTTAGAAGTGTAATTTATATTCTGGACAGCTACGTTTCCTTGTCTCTCTCATTTTTAATTTACTAAGACATTTGCGCACACGCACACGCACGCAGAGAAACGAACACTTTTTCAATTCCCTTTTCTTTCTCCACAAACTGTCCTTGTGCAGAGAGAAAAAAAAAAAAACATTTTTTTTCTTCTTAAACAGCGACATTGCTCCCCTTTTGACGCCCACGTTTCACTTTGCCGCCTCTTAGAGCCCTTAAGGTACGAAACCAACGGGACGCCTATTGACCTAGTGGGCCACCTCGATGAGCGACGACTCGTAGTCCTCCGGAGCAGTGAAGCCCATCAAGTTAAGGAACGTGGCCGTCACGTTGGCGAGCCCAGCGTTCGGAAGGTCCGTGCGCATCTGCACCCGAGGGTCGAGGCCAGCGCCACCGATGTACACCGGCACCGGCGCAAGGGTGTGCGACGTGAGCGGGAGGGCCTTCCCGTCGGGGCCGATCATCGGCTTGCCCTTCTTGTCGCGCTGCGCCATGTCGTCGGAGTTCCCATGGTCTGCAGTGACGAGGAACACACCATTGACGGAGTCGACCGCCTCCTTCAGCCGCCTCAGCGACGTGTCGACCGCCTCGACTCCGACAATCGTCGCCGCGAGGTCGCCGGTGTGGCCGACCATGTCACCGTTGGGGAAGTTGATGCGTACCACATCGTACTTACCACTCTTCAACGCCTCAATCGCGGCGTCAGTGATCTCTTTGCTCTTCATGAGTGGCTTCTCGTTGAACTGTACGCGATCGCTGGTGATCTCGAGGAATGTCTCGTGCTCCTCATTGAGCTTACCGCTGCGGTTGCCGTTCCAGAAGTATGTCACATGACCAAACTTCTGCGTCTCGGAGCAGGCGAAGATTTGGCAGCCCGAGCCGATCAGGTACTCCTCACTGGTGCGCGTGAGCTTCGGTGGTGGCACAAGGAAGTTGTTGGGGATGCCAAGGTCACCGTCGTAGCGCATCATGCCGGCGTAGCGGACTTTGGGCACGCGGACACGGTCGAATTTGTTAAAGTCCTCGTCTTCAAAGGCACGCGACATCTCAATCACGCGGTCGCCCCGGAAGTTGAAGCACAGCACGGCGTCGCCATCCTCGATGGTACCGATGGGCTTGCCACTCTTGTCGACGACGACGAACGGCGGGTAATACTGGTCTGTCACCTTCGGGTCTTCCTCGCGGAACTTCGTGATGGCCTCTGTCGCCGACGCGAAGTGCCGCGCCTCGCCCAGCACCTGCGTTTTCCAGCCACGCTCCACAATGGACCAGTCCGCCTCGTAGCGGTCCATCGTGACGAACATTCGGCCCCCACCGCTCGCGATACAGGCGTCGCAACCCTTTTCGCGTGCCTTGGCGAGCACCGCCTCTAGGTCTTCGGTGAACTTGAAGGAGCTTTTGTCCGGTACATCTCGGCCGTCGTACAACACGTGCACACGGATGCGCTTCGCTCCGCTGGTGCTGGAGTAGTTTATGATCTCGTATAACTGGTTGTCGCGGGAGTGCACACCACCGTCGCTCAGCAGACCAATGAGGTGAAGAGTGCGGTTGGGCTGCGAAAAAGCACCGTGAAGGTAGCGGTAACCGTCACTGGTGAATATTTCGCCACTTTTGATGGCGTCATCGACGAGCGAAGCGCCCTGCAACGCGATGCGGCCGGCGCCANCGTCACTGGTGAATATTTCGCCACTTTTGATGGCGTCATCGACGAGCGAAGCGCCCTGCAACGCGATGCGGCCGGCGCCAAGGGCGTTGTGGCCCACCTCGCTGTTGCCCATGTCTGCATCAGTGGGGAGGCCCACTGCCCTGCCGTGGGCGCAGACGGAGCGGAAGTGTTTTGCGTTGCTGCAGAGCGTGTCCATGAAGGGTGTTTTGGCCATGTGGACAGCGTCATACTCGTCACCTGGGCCGATGCCAACACCGTCCATCACCACAAGCAGCAGCTTGCGTCGGGGAAGCGCCGCGTGCAACTGAAGGGACAGTGCCATGACAATATAATTGTACGGAAAGGAGAACAATAAAACCTGAATTGCATTCAAGAGACGAATAAGGAGGAAAAATAGGAAGGATAGAAAAAAAAAAAAAGAAAACTCAAAAAACAAAATCAAGGGAACAAGAATAACAGTAATAATATAACAAACGACGGTAACAATAACACCTGACACATCAACTTTGCCACCCATGATGTGGTAGAAGCCCACGATGTCTGCGTGTCGGCCCACCTTCTTCTCTTCCACTACTCTGCTGCTGACAAAACGGTGCTTTCACTCAATCCATAGGCTGCACCTCTGTACCTGCAGCTGGTGGTGTGGACTGCATCTTCGTGAGCACCATTTTCAGGCCCGATACCTGACTTGACGCGATCGCATCATTCATTTCCGCGATGTCACCTTTAAATGTTTCATCCTCCAACACCCACGCCGTGGGCATTATCAACGGGATGGTATCGTTGTCGACAAAGCCCTCCTGATAGCACCGGTCAAGGTACTCCATCCACGGCAGTGAGACACCCTTGAAGCCAATACACACCAAATACCGCTCGCTATTCACGACACGGCTGTGACGCGGCTTCACCACNCCATCCACGGCAGTGAGACACCCTTGAAGCCAATACACACCAAATACCGCTCGCTATTCACGACACGGCTGTGACGCGGCTTCACCACGTGCACGCGATCGTATAGGTAGGTGGAGAGGTACAACATGGCTCGCAGGAGCGGGGAAAACGTGTCGAATAGCTTTAGAATGAAGCAACCACTGGGCCGAAGCAGCTTGAGTGCGGCCAGCCATTGCCCAAAGAGAATTCTACCGGAAATGGTCTCCTGGTAGTTCGCGATGTCCGATGGGATGTTGAAGCCACCGTCGGCCACCACGAGTTTCAGGTCCTCCGCAAGTGTTAACGAACGTAGAGCCTCAATGTTAGCCAACTGGAAGATGTCACCTGTGCCGTCGACGCCATAGGTCGGCAGGAAGCTCCTCGACGGCAGGCTGGGGTACCAGTCAAGCCCTTTCACGCCGCGCAGCGTCATGCCAAAACCACGCAGCTTCAGCTTGTGCTGTCGACACATGGCGAAGAGAGCCTGGGAGAAGGCACCGGGGCCGCCGCACACGTCGGCAAAGGCGAGGCACCTCCGCCGCGTGTCTGCGTGACAGCGCAGGTGCTCCCACACGCCCGCCGCTTCCATAGCCTCACGGAGCTTATGGCCGGCGCGGTTGCCGAAGGCGCAGGCGCCCTGACTGCCGCTCACGGCGAGTGGAAACACCGCGTCACGGGCCTGTCTGTACGCATCTTCGTCGATGCCGTCAAGCGCGCTCTTCGTTTCCCACAGCGCCAGCCGTTCATCCGCCTGGAACGCATCAAAGGCGTCACGCCAGTGCACACGCTCGAACGCGTTTGTTGTGAGTGACTCGAGCCGCGGCGGAACCCCTGCGGGGTCGTGGCGCAGCAGAAACTCCACCGTCTTGTCAGCCACCACCGCCATACTTAAACTTCGCACCTCCCGCCTGCAGGGACTCTGCGCCAACAAAGTACAAGGAGACGGAGGAGAAAGAGATAAGAGAAAAAAAAGACAAATCAAAACATTCCATACACCACAAATCTTCGGCTATAGTACAAGGCTGATAATTTCAGCAAATACCTTTTTCGTCAGTCTTTTTTTTTTTTTCGTTTTCTTCTTCCTCTTCTCCTCGTTGCACAGAAAGAGAGAAAAATAACCGAAAGAGGTGATACTGTTCCCTTTCACACACCAGGTGCTATCCGCATGCGCACCCCTGATGAACTGGCGAATCAACTCTGCAAAAAGAGAGAAAAATACAAGTTGTCATGTCATATCCCCTTCTCCTACTCGTGCCAGTCCTGGAATGCGCCTTGGCTGGAGGACCAATACCCCCACAGAGCGCCGCAACATACGATTGGAGGTAGAGACACTGAGTGAAGGGCAACATAAATAGATTGATGAACAGAAAGAAAAAAAAAAACGGCTTTGTCGTCTCAGTGGTGAGTTAACATGACTTATGTGGTGCACTTGTAAAAAAAAAGCAAAAAACATGACAAAAACGAACATAAATGTGAAGCATATCCATGCTTGGTATACTTTTTTTTTGGGGGGTGCCCTTATATACATATATATATATATATGTATATATATACTGCCTCACACTTATATGTCGCATTCCTTGCCTTCCCTCGCACCATTGTTCTACTCACAGAGGACTCACCGTCGCTTATTGTTTGTGCGTGTGTGCATGCTTGCGTCACGGCTCCATTGCGGCCCCGCGCTTGATAAAGCGCTCGTCAGTTGCGAGGCGGCCGACGACGGGGTACTTCGACTGGTACTTCGTCACCCACTCGTCCAGCGTGCTGCGGTGCTCGTCCGCGAGGTTGTGCCAGTCGGCGTTGGCTTCCGCGTCGTCGATGAGCATCTTCGCCAGGCAGCGCGAGACGTCTTTGCCGGCGAAGACGTGGTACGACGCACCGGGGCCGTAGAAGTCGGCAGCGGAGCTGCAGTCGTACACGATACCCATGACGGATATGTAAATGGGCGCCCCGCCCTCACCGTTGTACTTGAGGAGCTCTGCCGCGTCGAACACACGCTCCATATCCCTGTCGCTTCCTTGATTGATCTTCAGCTTGTGTGTGTTTGTGTACTCACCCACTGATTCGCATAACGCGCACCACCCCACGGGTGAGAAAGGAGGCACAAAAGAAAACAGAAGGCGCTGGTGCTTCAGCCAAAGACACGACTATTGCATGATCCACACAACATGCCATAAGAGCACCAGAGACACATTGTGCCGCATTGCTTTACATCAACACGCGGCGACTACTCCTGTACCAGGAGCACATCTAGCAGCTGCACTCCGTACTGTAGCGCCTTCGCCTCCAACTCCTGCCGAAGAGACACGACTCCGTCCTTAAGACGCTGCAGCTCCTCCCCTTTCACGCGCCGCGTCTCCTCGATCTTGTGGCGCTGCGCTGCGTTGTTTTGCTCCGCGTCTGCCACCGTCTTCTCGAGGTTTTTGTGTCGTTGTCGGAGTTGCTCTTCGCACGTTGTGGACATATTCTGCATCATGCGAACCTGCTCGTCCGTCTTTTGCTCCACCGCCTCACACTGCTCCTGCAGCTCCGCGAGCCTCTTCTTCAGGACGGTCTTCTCGTGATCCACGCAACGTATCTCTTCGCTAGCTAACATCAGAAGATGCTCTACCGCCTGACACTGCCGCCGCAGCAACTCCAACTGCTGCCTCTTCTCGTCCAGCAGCTGAACATCCGTCAACTTCTTTTTGGGTGCCATGCAGGCCTACCCGACCCCCACACTACCGTCAGCCGCACCACAAGATAAAAAAAACAAAAACGAACGAGAAAATAGCAAAGGCACAGTGGCGGAATCACCACAGCCACCAGCTACAAGACGAACAATAAAAGAAACGAAAACTTTGGACAGAATGCTTATACTGATTCTGAAGAGAGCGGGAGTGGGTGGGGAGGGGAGCAAAGTAAAACGCTCACCGCAGGCAGCGCCTTCTCACACCAAAAGACGCTCATAGGATCTGCTGGTCCCATGCTATATTCTTCTCTTGTCTTCGAGGAATTCTAACGGTCACGCACGATCGCCTTCAGATCATGAATAATGTCTTCGTGCTTCAGTGTGTACTTGAGATTTGCCACCACGCTGTACCGAATTGGCGGGATGGTACGGAGTTGCGCCGGCACCGGCCCCTCCGGATCCAGCGCGTCCTCCACACCTTCCTCCATCGTTACCACGCTGGCGGGGGCGTAGGCGTCGCTGCCGAAGCAGTAACGGTGCGCGAAGGCCACGAACAACATCTCCACGCAAATTAACAGATCCTGGAGCCCCTCCGACACCCGGTCCTCCGACCAGTACTGGAAGCTGGGCAACATGTGCGTCGCAGACAGCAATTGAATAAGAATGCCCTGCCAGAACGAGAGAAAAACTACCACTTTAATGCACAGGAATTTCATGAAGGCGTTGGTGCCCTCCATATATTCCTTCAACCCTGTGTAAAAATAAACCAGGGCAGTAAAGGCTATCGTGATCGACGCGTTATACACAAGTGTCGTCCAGAAGGAACCCTTACTTACATCTAAAATGCTACCCATCTCATTCTTCGCTGTTAGAATGATCACAACCATTGTCACGAGCGGCTTCACCACCATAAACTGGAAGAGGCACAACCGACAATTACGCACAAATGTCGGTGACACCTTCACTGGTTCCATCCAACAGAAGGGGAAAAAATGCTGTATCGGTGGCCGCTCCTCCAACATGAGAGTCCGATACACTGTGTCCACACCTCCCATAAGAGCCAACATTAGCTGGAAGAAGGCATAGATGGCGTAACTTTCATAAGCGTCACGAATTAGGTTGAGATACTCTGCAGCGTTTGGGGCAAGGATGCATATCCACGAGATCATGGCGTACAAGGGCACCATGAAGAGGATACGCACCACCTTCATCTGGCACTCCGGGTCGGAGAAGCAAACCAGGTGCTCGAGTATTTGAAACAGTGACAAAATGGTGGCGAATATGGCGCAATACCCTGCAATAAAAGACGGCACCACCCTTTGGTCACGCAGTACATTCTTCAACAGCAAAACTATCAGCAACAGAAATCCAACGACGCAGGAGAACGTCCCAACCCAGTAGTACATCCTCCTTCGGTCATGAGACTGGAGGTGGAGGACGCCACTAAGTGACATTTTGCTTCACTGCTACCGCAGCGCCAACTGTCAAGAGAAACAAAATAATAATCAAAAAAAAATAAGAGGGAAGTGAGTTTCAACCTGAGAAGCCCAATGCGCCATCTCGTGGATCAAAAGCAGCAGCAGCAGTAGCATCAGGAGTAGTGGCAATAGCATTCACCAACAGCATCAACAACCAAAAGACAGCGATAACGACTACACAACGAAGCAAGACATCAGCGAGGAATGAGGTCATAGAGACTCAGCGACAGCAACTTTGACAATCCAACTGCCGACGTGACAGGAATGTGGCAGTGGTAGGCCTTGACATTGTGCGAGGATGCAACTACAAGGCCCCACGAGAGCAATGTCTGGTGGTGTTGCACTGCCGTCTCTGCTGGTGCGAATTCCAGTGGGTCCACGTGGTGGATGCAGATCCTCAGCAGGGCGTTGTACACCAACATTAGGCGTGGCAGGTGCACGAGATGCGCTGATGAAGACAAAACAGCGGCTTTATGCGACGTGGCGTTTGTTCCTGCCGATTTCGTGCGTTGTTGCAACCCCTGTTCGTTGAACACAAACGCATGCTTCGACTTTGGGACAGCACCGCAGTAAAACACGCTCACTGTCCACAACATAGCCGAGTACCCGATTCGCCGCAGCGCTGCCACCAGCGGGTCACCGCCCTGCTCCGCTGCCACCGCAAACTCCCGTCGCCTTCCCCATGCAGCGGAGTGGTGCATGGCGTTTGGCCGCCCACCCGCATAGTGTGGCACAAGAAGCGGCAGGACCTGGTAAACGCGCTGCAGCAGCTGCCGCAGGTCTTGCGCCACAATACTCGCTCGCATTGGCAGGTGCGTTGTGTAATACGCGACGGCGTCCAGCACCGCTGTGTGGGTCTGTTCCAGGGTGAAGTGCGGGACATCCAAGTCAGGGTAGGCTGAAATCCGCGCACGGTTGGCTACAAAGAGACCCTCCAGCCATTTACGCACTACCCCTGCGTCAGGTTTCGACACAAAGTGGAAGCGGAAACAGTTTGAGAGCCGCAGTGGCATTTGTGTGACGATCCAGAGACAGACAATGCTACGGCTGCGCTCCTGTGAACCCACCACAAGGCACCCCGAGAGCCAGTGGTTGATGTCGGCCGCGTCCTCCTCCAACACGTCGGCGTCATCGAGTACCAAGTGGAGCTCACTGCCCTCCGGCGCGGAGCCCAGCCACAATTGCACCAGAGACCCGAACTGCAGCAGCGAGCACTCTGTGCGCCGCCGCTTCGTGGGCGGCTGGAGGCGCCACGTCAGTCGCTGCAGCGGGTCGCCATCGAGCGCCCTGCCGCTCACGTACTCGAGATGAAACGACTTTTCCATGCTAAGGACGTGCTGCTCACGTGCTGTGAGGTACTGCAAAAGCAGCGTCGTTTTACCGCTGCTCGGTGGGCCGAAAAGACAGATGTATCCCGACCCGCACTCGACACTGGCATCCAATTCATCGCGCAGGTCCGCTTGGCGTTCCTCGCACGGTGCAGCCGCCTCCATGGAGCCAAGCAAGCGGGAGGAACACCGCACTAATGTGCAACAGGGGCCCCCAGAAAAATTGACAGGCGCGGACACCGAAACAAAAAGAACAAAAAAGAATAAAGAGAAAGAGAGAGAACAAAAAATAGATGAACATATGCGAGGCTGTACTTGGTAATGAGCATGCATTCCCCCCTTTCTCTTCTGTCAGCATCACAAAACATATTTCTCTTTCGCTCCCGTGAAAGATTTTTTCAGTCGTTTTTGCCCCCCTTCACTCATCCCCTGGCACTCACGGCATGTCGCGGTACGCCTGCTGGTAGTTCCACCTATTCGTCTTGAAGTGTCTGCGCTTGCTGAAGCGGTTTCTCGCGTCGTGGGAAGCCTGCAGTGAAGGGTGGAAACGCTTGTCACGCATAAAGCGGTGGCGGAACTTGTGTCCACAGAACCAATGGGCAATGAGCGCAGGGCGGGTGAGACCGAACATGGTCCTCTGACCTTGCGAATACCACTACTACAGCTTCTCAAGGTGCGTGCGTGCATAAGCACATATGCGCATGTATTGACAATTGAATAGATACAAAAAGGGGAAAGTGTGAGAGATGAAGTGGATCGAGGAGACAGCACTTTTCATTCGATCCGAAGTGACGGCCAAGCACGCAACAGTGGGCGTAGCATCACCAAAAAAAAAAACAAGGGTGAAGTGCGGCAAATCACGTATGTAACCTAATGGAAGGTCTATAAAGCGAAATGGATCAGCTACGCACCCTTCTGAAGCTGCATTACCCCAGCAGCAAACGCCTCCAAGTGGAGAATAGACTTTGTGCCAAGCTTCATGTTGTGATCGTACTGCGCCGCAAGGGCGACGACAGGCCTTCGGAGCGCCGGGTCAACGGCAGCGAGCAGATTCTCAACAAGTCCCCGCAAGATCACTTCACCAGAGACACACTGACCGAGCAGGTCGTAGAACTTCCCACGGACTTCATGCAACTTTTTTGGTGTTTGTTCAGAGACGATGTCGTTTGCAATCTCGTCAAGGAAGACGCGCCAGTCGGGCTGTGGGATGTCGTTGCCGTTCCCCGCCATGTCTACCCGCATCATGGCGGCGGCCTCCACCATCAGCAGTGCACGGCGCAGGTTGCCCTCTGCACGCCTCGCCACGGTGGCCATAAACGCTGGCGACGGCGCTGTCCGGCTTTCCCGCTCGCATACTGCTTCAATCACTCGTGTCAAGTTCTCCCTGGAGTGCGACGGCACGCGGACAGCTAGGCAGCGCGAGCGGAGCGGTGCGATAAGACGCGAAGTGGAATTGCATATAAGTACCAAACGACATGTCGACATGTACTTCTCCATAGTACGGCGAAGGGCATGCTGCGCGGCGCGTCCCATCTTATCCACCTCGTTGAGAAGTACCACCTTGTACTTAACACCACTGGAGGCGTTTGACTGCAATGAGACGGTCTGTGCGATTTCCCGAATCATTTGCATCACAATAACGCGGTCATAATTGCCAGCATCGGAGGGATTAATGTCGATGTGGTTGGGAGAGCTTAGAGTCGCGATGTCAACGACCTTGCTGTCTGTCACTTGCACAGACTTGTGCTCTAGCCGAAGTGAATACACAGAAGGACCATACACGTGATGCAATACTGCCATGGCACGTGTCTTCTTTCCCGTGCCAGATGGGCCGTACAGCAACAGATGGGGGAGGTCCTGTGAGTCGGCAAGGCGCTTCAACACATCGGTGAGTTCTGGGTAAAGTTCAACGTCCTCCAGGGACTTGGGGCGGTACTTGTCCACCCACAACATTGCTACCATATAATGTAGAGATCCGAGATGAGAGAAGAGGATGATGCTGAGAATAACGAGCTAACAACAGCAGCAGGAATCCTAACTTGAGTTGGGAGTCATTAGAGTATCATACCAATGCCAGATTTAGGTACCGCTCTTTACGTCACAGCTCGAGGAGCCACACAATAAAAAAACTACCGCGGAATCAAAATGGGAAGCAAATCAAGGCCAAATCAAAGCAGCAACAAAAAATAGAGACATTGTGCCTTAAAACCCTTTCTCTTCCATCATCCGTGTTGTCCACTCAACGCCCACCCACACAGAGGCGTTTGCGGGAACAGCCCGAAGGAGGCATGCTGAGAGGCCTTTGTAGAAGGCCCGTACCCCACCTCTTTTGTACGTGGCGATACACACCTGCGACATGCTTCTTCTCGCCTCATCCGCTTGTAGTTGAGTCTTCATGTAGTCAAAGGGGTAGTTACTCAGCCAGAAGATTAGGCCCGCTACACACCCGCTTAGCATCGGCACGGAAACATCCCTCCCCGCTGGTGTCGTCGCGATGGAAGAGTTGCACAACTTGTGCTTGCACATTTGATAACTACAGAAATAAAAGGGGAGACCCACAAGACGTGAGAAAACTGTCGGCACGTACCCTGAAAAGAATCCACGCATTCCATCATTTGCCAGAATGTACCGTATGCAGCTGATTGGCCCCGTGTACTTTGCCTTGACACCATCGCCGTGTTGCACCTGCAGTTTCACCTTCACATTCTCCATGGGCGTAATGCAGAGCACGTAGAGTGGCGCCGTTAGCTGCCCTGAGAGTGCTGTCCGCCAGAGGGGAAGGGGGGTCTTCGCATCATGTCCCTCAGGTGTCAATATATTCAGTGCGAATTGGTTGATGCTAAAGAGAATGGAATTGTACACGCCGCCCAGCAGCAGTGGTGGCATCAAACCGCGATAAAATCCACGGACACCCTCCTCACTCCACGTGCAACGGCAACAGGAGATAACACCCGGAAAGACACCGCGTTGTACACGCGACTTTATGGTGTCGAACGGATGGCTGCAGAGAGCCTGCATCATGCCGCCTACTGTCCCACCAACAAAGCGGCGCATCACTTTTTGCCTTTCTCCGACATTGTTGCTGCCGTTGCCGTCCCTACTAGACATGAGGAGGGCTAAATGACAATCTACATACACAGACGCATTCATTCAAACAACCACCACCAAGAGGAGGAAGAGAAAGCGAGGCTATACCAAAGAACAAAAACAGAAACAGCAAAGCAAGCGGTCAACGCAACGCGTGCTCCATCCTCATCTCTGCCATTCTACCCTCACAGACGCATCCAGTCCTTCTGTTTCAAGGCCATTGTATACCTATACAGATCTTTTTCTCCCATTACATTTCTTCATTCTACATGCAGCGCATCAGTGATGAAAGACTTGCGGCGAAAGGCCTCAGTGTTGTTGAGCATGTTACGCCCCATCACCCGCTCGCAGACAGACTTGAATGACAGCAATGGCGCGCCGTCATACAGCGCCGCGATATTCTCCTGTGAGAAAACATCCGGCAGACACATGTTGCGCGGATTTGTCACCCGCACGTGAAAGGCCTTGTCCATCTCGACTGGTGTAAGCGAACCCTCCTGGCTGCGCGACAACACGTAGAACGCCTTCTGCGCCCCACGCACCGGTTGCCGGTCGACGCACAGCAGCGCCAAAAGCGGCAGCGGGTCGAGGTGACCGTCATCCGCTGCGAAGGTCATCCACAACGCCCGAACGTACGCCTCAAGCCGGTCGTCACGCAGACACTTGTCGAAGAAAAAGGGGACGTCGTAGAAGACCTCTTCGGTGACCATCTCCATTCCAAGATCCGCCCGCGTCTCAAGGAGGTGCGTGACAGAGCACTCCGCGATGTAATAATTCTCGACTCCCGACGCTGTGTCTTCTTCGACTTTTGTTGTTGATGATGCTATCTCCGGCACAGGCGCGCACCACAGGAGCAGATGAACGACAAATTCACGCCAGTCAATGAAGCCACAACTGTGCGGGTCAAATGCATCAAATACTTCCTGCAGCGTCTTCAACTGACCATGCTTGGTGGCGGCACCGGCGTAGTCGGTGGGAGACACAATGTTGAAGAACTCCGCGTGGCTCAGCGCGTAGTCGGGTGCAGCAACGCGGAACACGCGGATCATATCGTGCAGCCGCGTGGCCGAAAGCGTCGCGTGGATCATCGGCTCCTGCGGCTGTCTCACGGCCTGCGGGCGCTGTGGCGATGGGGCGCTGTGCGTCGGTGCGCGTCCTGCCGCAGGCGCCATGTGGAACGTCTCGCGGCCCAAGTGCATGTCAGGGAGCGGGCGCTCCTCTTCAATAGCATTGCGCACGGCATACACCACCGTGTTCACTGCAGCCGCCTGGTTGAGCTGCTTCTCCCGTGTGTGCGCCAGCATGTCATCCTTCATGCGTGCCGAGTACGCCTCCCCCTCACGCAGCAGTCGAGCGAAGAGCTGCCGTATACATGCAATTCGCTCCTGTGCCTTGTCTAGTTCGCTTTCCGCGAAAGGGAGACACTTGACGAGGACCAGCGCTGGCTTCCCCTCGTCGGCCAAGGCGGCGGAAGCCTTGCTGCTCTCGCGCGCCTTCGCCGAGGCTGCAATGTTTCCCACTAACTTCTCAACGTAGTTCGTCATGGAGTGGATGAGCTTCCCAGTGGCCTCCGCAAACATGTCCTCGACTGTCTTTTCCACTACTTCTTCGAGGCGTGGGGACTTCTTGGTGCTCGTCGTTTTCTTCTCCTTGCCTTTGGTCTGTTCCAGCGCGCTCTCCGCGACGGAACGCATAATGACAAGTTCCGACTCCATCTCCTCGAAGACGCACGGCTCGCCCACAACGGCGCTAAAGTACATCGCTACCAAGTTCAGCGTTGTCAGGAACCTCTCCACCTCAACTTGAACTGTCGCGATGCCAACGTTGCACACCGAAACACACCACGGGCCCAAGAAGGACTCCTTCTTCATAATGAGTTCAATCTTTGCCGCTGCCTCTTTTCCTGTGGCCTCCACCGTACGGAAAAGCTCCTCCTTGAGGTGATCCACCAGCACGTGCAGTTCCTCTTTGCACGACACCTGTCCTAACAGCGCAGGTGGGAGGCGGTTGTAATTCGCCACGAATGCATCCAGCTTCCCCTGTTTCTCATCAGGCTGGTTCCAGAAGCGGTGGAAGATGCCCATCGCGATGCTGCGGTGTTCAAGCAGCACGCTCACCAGCTTCTCCAACGCCATCCCCGACCAGCTGTAAGCGTACTCGTACCGCACCCGGAAGGCAACGAGGGCACGCATGAATACTTCCGGAATATCGTCTGGCATTGTGTAAAACGGCGCCGACGACGGCCGCAACTCTAATTCCTGTGGGATCGGCGCACCACACTCTGAGTACACCGCCATGAGGCGCCGTCGCTCTGCTTCCCGCTGTTCCTCTTGTTCGGCAATGTTGGCAGCGATTTCCTTCTGCCTTGCTTTGGCGGCCATCGCGGCATCATACATACGAAGCTCCGCATCGAACTTCTTCTGAGCGTCCTGGAGGATGCACTTGACATCCTCCACAATGTCCTCCAACGGCCTCTCACCGTTCACTTCGTGCACAATCGCATCGGCCCCTTTCTTGCACATAAACCAACGCTGCATTGCTTCCCAGCTTCTCTGCTGATGGAGCACAACACGGTGCAGTTGTGCGGTGGAAGTTTTAGTGCGGTCAAGGTTCGAAATATGTGGCACACGCTCCGACGGTGGTGGATGGAAGACCATATGGTAATGCTCACCCGTTTCCTTGTCAATGCGCAGCCCAGCAAAACGATTGAATATTTCACGCGTCCCACAGCAGATGTGCACCACCGCGACAAAGAGAAGATGCGTGCGCTCGCGTTGCTCCCAGCATTCTATTGCGGCCGTCTCCTCCGCTGTCAGTTCCGGCCGCGTCACTTCCGGCAGAACTGGCGGCGGCAGCGCGTTGATGTCGACACCTTTCTTCAGCTGTCGTGACTTGCCCTCGCCCTTCGCAACCGGCCGGTCAGGTCGCACCTCACGCCGCACTAGCAGCAGGTCTGACATTGCATCTTCCTTCTTGCTCTCCCTTTTTTCCTCCTTCTTCTTTTCCCTTTCTTCTCCCTCGGCTACCACTGCTGGCGTTTCAATCGCTACAGCGGGAAGTGGCGGCCAATTCTGCAGTTCCCCCTCGAATGCGTGCACGCTCTGCGAGATGGCGCGGTGCAGACACCGCAGCTCCTCCGTCCCCGCCACGGCACCGTCAAAGAGAAGGCCGTGGCACCCCACCGGAGGGCATTCCATTTGCAACTGCATCAACTGCACAATGACAGACGGGTTCACAGACTCACCACGGAGGAGGGCCGCTTCTATGACTTTACCAACCGCCGCCCACGGGCTAAGTCGCACAAAGGACTCAACAATCTGCACCGTACGCGCGTCGCTGTGATATGCCAACTCCTCCTCCTCCGCATTGCGCTCCTCGTAGGCCATCAAAAAAGGAAGGGCGTCACTGTCCTCCTCTGTCAAGAGTGTCGGGAGACTGTTGCGCTCACGTCTATACGCCTCCAGGGCCCTATTCACCAAATCGCGATCCGAGAGGTGCAGCAGTGCAATCTGCTCCTCCACTTGTTGAGAGACAACTGTCTTGCCGCTGAGTTTGGGGCCGTCGATCAGAAACAAGGGCTTGCGACAAACGTCAAAGCGACTCACGGAGGAGGGGGGCGGATTCATCTTCTCATACATACAGTGAAGAAGCTGCAGAAATGGGGTTCCCGTCAGATGGAAGGGGTGAAGCCCAAAGAGTCTTGCAAAAGTCATGTTGGCGCGGTCGCTCTCCGCGAGCGGTGTCTCGTTGGTCTTGGGAATGAAGCAGTCCAGCGCAATCTCGGTAAGAAGAGTGCCCCTACAGCTCTCGGTGAGGGCATGTTCCGCCAGAAAATCGATACATCGGTCAACGGCGTTGAGGACACTGTCAATTGCTTGCTCTGCCGCTTCCTCCTTCGCATGGCGTTCCTCTTCGCGACACAGTTCCTCCAGCTCTTGCAAACGGCGCTCATCGTTTACCACAACTGATGACTGCTCGACGACCTCGCGCTTCATGGCAGCCGAGAGATACATGGAAGTCAGCTGTTTTTGCAGATCCACAGCTTTTTCACACTCGCGTTTCTCTTCCAAAACATTCTCGCTGATCATGTCCCACCAGACACCCATGTCGCCCAGGGAGTTCCGCAATTCCTGCTCCACCACCGACATGGTGTTGGCACTGCGCCGCACGACGCTGCCGAGTTCCCCCTTGCTGCGGCAGGCGCGTTCCTTGTTGCCTGCGACGATGAAGTCGACACGCCGACGCCTGCGAGCCTCGCGACGCTGCTCCTCCTCATCTCGTGCCACCAGTAGTGACGATACGAAATCTGCAGCAGTTCGCATATTGAGCTAACGCGACCCTAAAAATCTTTTCTGTCTGGAGAAAGGGAAGCAACAGATGCGAAAGCAATAATAACAACGACAGGCGCCTTATGATATATATATATATATATATATCATAAGGGGAATCTCACATGCTTGTTCCGCCATTCACCGCTCATTCACTCACCCGCCCAGGTGCAATGTGCCTACAGATTCTTCGCCCAAGACTTCTTCCCCTTTGGCGGTGGCTTTGTGATGTTGATGCGCCTAATGGAGTTGTTGTAATCACGGTACGATTTGAAAAAGTTCAGCACAGGGTGGCGCAGCTGCCACCAACGCAGACGCCCTTGTGCCCACAAACGCAAGTCAATGCCTAGTCGCCCACACGACGGAACAAAGAGGTACGCCAGAATAACCGGAGTGAGAAACCTGCAACTGTCTGATATGAACGCCCAGGCCCAATTCTCCCCCGTAAAAATCGCTTCTGCCCGCATGATTTTCTGCTCAACAACGAAGTACGCCACACCCTTTGTGCTGGGATCATCCACAAAGTGGTTTCTAGCCCCGTTGGTGACCTCAAGAGCGTGTTGAATCTCTTCCGCGTCGTTGACACTTGTTTCATGCAGTTTCCTTTGTTTTGCATCGTATACACGTTTCTGCACGCCGTACATTACATGTGAGGCGTACCGCTCCCGCCGGTATGACTTTGGATAGACGACTGTCCGCAAACAGCGGTAGTACCCCCAAAGGTATAGCGCAGCAATCGGGTAGCAGAGAAAGGGACACAGCATGTAGTAGATGAACGCCCGGATTGGGGGCACCACCATGGCAAAGTCAATATGTCCCAATCGTTCACGCGTCCGGCTCACCGCGTAGAGCGGCTCTCTCCACATATCTGTAAAGAGAACACCAGTCAATGTCACCGGCCGCTCGGCCGTCATATCCGGAAGATTTGTAGTAGTAATGGTCACTATGTATGTGTAAGTCTACTTGTATGTAGGCATGTATGTATATATGCGTGTGAAATTGAGGAGGCAAAAGAACAAAAGAATAGTCTACGCCTTACTTTCCCCTTTGTAGAAAGATGAGAAGAGGAAAGATGATGTCTAGTCTGATAATCTGGATATCGTCTTTTAGTAAATCAATGCACCGGAAAGAGTACTCTAAGACCCTACATCCTCCATGATCATTACTGACGAAAATGAGGTGGTGAAAGAGCTTTTAGTCTCCCTCCTGCGCGGNGGGGGGGGGGGGGAGAGGGCTGAGTTGGGTGAACCTTCAAAATCCACTCTTTACGGCGCACTGCATAATGTTAAAGATCTGGGCCGAAATAAATTTGTGTGATTCACCGGTCACAAAATGCAATGTCCCAACATTCTTTTCACAAACTCTTGCCACCCCCACCCACCAAAAATAAAATAATTTTATCACATGACCGATAGCACCAATTCCACGCACACACACACACACACACACATACATACACACAGAAATACAAAAAAAAGTGTTACTCGCCCACGCCGCCCGCCTCGAGAAGTGGCCGACTTTTCACTCCTTCCACGCCGCGTGAATACTCTTGGTGATAAAGGTGTAAATGTCGCCCGCCTCGCGCATGATTTTACTGGTGGGTTTGCCAGCACCATGGCCGGCGGCTACCTCTACGCGCGCCAAAAAAGGTCCCCCTTCCGTCGGGTTGGCATGCTGGAGCGTCGCAAGGTATTTTAGCGAATGGAGAGGCACAACACGGTCGTCATGGTCGCCTGTCACCACCAGAATGGCAGGATATTTAATACCAGACCGGATGTTGTGAATCGGACTATACCGCTGTAAAATCTTGAAATCCTCTTCCTTCTCTGGGTCACCGTAATCTGATTTCCACGCGTGTCCAATGGTAAACTTGTGGAATTTATACATATCCAGCACTCCCACTTGGCAGACAACACAGCTAAAAAGCTCCGGCGCTTGATTCGCAGCCGCCGCGACCAGAAGCCCACCATTGGATCCGCCCATAATAGCCGTCGTCTGAGGGGAGCCGTAGCTATGACTGTGTAAAAACCTAGCGGCCTCAATGAAATCTGTGAAGCAATTTTGCTTGTGGGCTTGCCTACCAGCGTCGTGCCACTCTTCACCGTATTCACCGCCGCCTCGGATATTCGGTATCGCCAGCACACCACCGAGTTTCTGGAGGAACACCACTCGCGAGGAGCTAAACCCCGGCGTCAGCGAAATATTAAAACCACCGTAGCCGTAAAGAAGAAGCGGGGACTCTGGTGTAGCAAGACCCTTTCTGTGGATAATAAACATTGGAATTCGCGTTCCATCCGCTGAGTTATAAAACACCTGCTCCGTGACGAAGTCGTCGGCGGATAGACCTTCAACCGTATCGTCCTTGTAGATGCAAAGTGATCCCAGTGGGTCGTTGATGTCCATGACGAAACTACGCCCAGGGAGAAGGAAGGACGTCATCTTGAAAGAAACAAAGTCTTTTTTCCGGTCGACAAAGAGGGAGGCAATCGTACCAATCGGCAAAGGAATTGCATTCGGCGTAGACTCATCAAGACGGCGGAAGTACAGAACATCCTTCACGTCCTCGAGGTAGGTGAGTAAAAGCGTGTTCTTTACGAGTGCAGCGTGGTTTAACACGGAACGCTGTTCTTCGACGACAACATCCTCGTCGCCGTTACAAATGTCTATGGAGACGATCTTTTTCCGCGGCGCGTCGCGGGTGGTGACAAAATAGAACTTTACTCCATCATTTCCCAAGTAGTCATACTTGCCAACAAACTCATTCACCAACTTCGTGAACTTCAGCGGTGTGGACCCGATTCCTTCCTCACTGGTGGGCAGCTCTGCAATCCAAACAAGGTTCCGAGGTTCACAGCCGTCGAACAGTGAGACAATGATATACGATTGACAATCGGACACCTCAGCCCCCAGGCTCCACTGCGGGTGCTCTGGCACGGCAAGAATCGCCACGTCCTCTGCCTGCGGGCGGCCCAGGCGGTGGAAACAGATAAAAGGGTCCTGCGCCGTGTCAGTTTCTGCACCCTTGTCCACATTACTCTGGAGGGCGGGATAGCGTGTGTAGAAGAACCCGGTGTCATGCCACCACGCAATACCTGTGAACTTGGCCCACTCAATATTGTCCGCAGTATCCTCCGCTGTGTCGGCACACCGCACGCGAATGCTTTGCCAATCGCTGCCCTTTTCGCTAATACTGTACGCAAGCAGCGACTCGTCCTCACTCCAGGCTGTGGCCTTGAGCGCAGTAGTACCATCGCCACTCATAGTGTTAGGATCGAGGAAGACGCTGGATGTCGCGTTGGTTAGGCTCTTTGCACGCATTAACACACTCTGGTTCTGAAGGCCCGTGTTGTGGTAGAAGTAGTATTGACCGTGACGAAAGCTTGGGCATGACGTTCGGGGGTAATTTTGCGACGCTGAGATACACTCAAAAAAATTTTCGCGGAGTTCAGCATCGGCTGAGAGGTATTCCTCGAAGAAAACGTTTTGTGCCTGCACAAATGACTTTGTTTCATCGTTCTGGGGGTCTTCGAGGTAGTCGTACGGCTCAGGCACTGTAACATTGTGTATCTTGTAGGCCGCCATGGACCTCCTGGCCAGCGGGTAGAGTGAGCGCATTGGTAGCACTTTAAAATCAAAACGAAACCTTTCAAGTGCAGATTGTTCTCACAGACTTGGCATTCGGAAATCACAAAAAAGGGCAGAACAGGGCAGCAAAAGCACGAACACATATGAGTTGGTGTCATTCTCACCCCGCCTTATTTGCGTTCGCAGTTTACCTCCGCTGTTTTTTTCTTTATCTCAGATCATGTGCGCCCGATATATATCGCTCTCAGTCTCTCTTTAACAGACACACACACACAAGCTTTCTCTCTTACACACACACATACATACAAACGGACAAACAGTCACAGAGACATGCACAGACGGTTCAGCTCCCGTTGATAACTGATTGTGTAAATCTCTTGAGAATCTATAAAAAAAAAGTAAATAGAATTACCCAGTAGTAGTAGTGTTTGTCTTTTTCTTGGTGCATTCTTTTTCCCTGTAATAAGAGGACTTTTCAGATAACGACGTCTTCAAAAACCAGTAACCAAAAAAAGTAAAAAAAAAAAAAAACAGATCGGCATTGTCACAAAATAAATTGTTGTGGAAAAAGAAATGAATTGCTTTCTTTTTATATGTGCTTGCTTCCCACCCTGATATGTCAGTCATAAAGCGTTTTGCTCGTTTCCCTATAATGGAAGCACATACCATTCTTAAAGCTTGCTCTTGAGCTTGAACGGCTCCCGCACGGTCAGCACGTCGTGGAATCGCGCCTCCTCAGGGATGTAATCCTTGACAGCCTTCCAGATGGCACCAGAACGCAATAGCGCCGCAATCTTTTCAATGTCACGGTAAACGACGCGGTCCTTATCCCACGATGGGCTGACAGATCGAACAAGACCCCACACCTTCTCCATCGGCTCCGTCGTCTTGAGTGGCCGCAGGAGGTCGATGCCCTGGCAAGCGCACATAAGCTCAATGGCGATGATGTGCTCGATATTCTCCACCACCTTAAGGGCTTTGCGTGCGGAGAAGCCACCCATGCTGACGTGGTCTTCCTGCGCAGCAGAGGTGGAGATGCTGTCGATGGACGAGGGGTGACAGTAGACCTTGTTCTCCGAGACAAGAGCGGCAGCGGTGCAGTGAGCAATCATGAAGCCCGAGTTGAGCCCACCTTTATTAACCAGGAAGGCAGGGAGGCGGCTCAGGGAAGGGTTATTGAGCCGCTCGATGCGGCGTTCACTGATGTTGCCAATTTCATGAACGCCAATAGCAAGCATGTCAAGTGCCTTTGCGGGGTATTCGCCGTGGAAGTTGCCCCCTGAGACAACCCTCTTTACACCGTCTGGGAACACGAGTGGGTTATCGGTGGCGCAATTGAGCTCCGCGGTAAGAATGCGGTACACCCATTCAATGACGTCGTTGGCGATGCCGTGAACTTGAGGAGCGCAGCGGATAGAGTAGGCATCCTGCACGCGGCCACAGTTCACGTGGCTGTTGTTGATCATGGAGGGGTACTTCTCGCTGTGAAGAAGCGCTCGCAGCCTCTGGGCAACAATCTGTTGGCCCTTGTGCGGACGCACGCGGTGTATATCGGGGTTGAGGGAGCTGACAGTCGACTGTAGCGCCTCGTGGGACATGGAGAGCGAAACGTCGGCGAGGCGTGCAATCCTGCGTGCGCGCACAACGGCCTCCGCACCCAAAGCGCTCATGAACTGCGTCCCGTTGATGAGCGCAAGCCCTTCCTTCGCTGCCAGCGTGATGGGTTCGACGCCCAACTCCCTCAGTACGGTGCTGGCGTCACGGAACACCGGATTTTTGAGCGTAGCCAACATGCCCTCGCCAAGCATGCCGAGGGCAAGGTGGGACAACGGGCCGAGATCGCCACTCGCGCCCACAGTGCCTTGCTCCGGAATATGGGGAACCACACCAGCATTGAAGGCCTTGACGTATTTCTCCACCGTCTCGAGGCGGATGCCACTGTGTCCCTTGCAGAGAATGTTGATGCGGAGAGCCATCATCATGCGAGCGCGCTGGGGCTTCAGGGGCTCGCCAACGCATGCGCTGTGGGAGCGGATGAGGTTCAATTGCAGGTCCACCAGTTGATTCGGCGGAATAACAGTTGACTCGAACTTACCGAAACCTGTGTTGATGCCGTATACGGTCTGACGCTCGTTGACGATCTTGTCGATAACTGCACGGCCCGCATTAATTCTGCGAATTGCCTCCTCCGCTAGGAGGATGGTGGAGTCTTTCTCGTGGCCCAGCGCGTACAGCGCGTCGGGCGTGAGGGAGCATCCGTCGAGTGTAACCTTCATTCTTTTTTTCTTCTTCCGTATTTTTGATTTCTTAAGACGCGGTTGATAACTGGCACCACAAAAGGGGAAAGAAGCAGCCAGAAAAAAAAAAGAAATACTGAGGTGTTGCCAAAGATACCGTAATTAGAGAGAAATGAAGAGCACCAGACTTTTCTCAGCACCCCCACCCCCCCGGAAAAAAAAAAGAGACAGCCTGCAGCGCTGAAGGACGGACGACAGAGATACTGCAGCTGCTGCTCCTACTCCCTCACTCAGCACCCCTCCTTCTCCTATTTCTGTTTGCTAATTGCCTATACCACGCACCTCTTCCCCTCTTCCCCATAATGCACTTCTTTCAACACTCATAGGCGCAATATGGATTAGAGAAAATAAAATATAGATTTCATGCCTGCTGGTGCATCCTTACACGCCATACTTGGCCTCTTCTGCGTCGTACTCGGAGAGGCTGTCAAGGAAATTCCGCAGGACCTCTGTCTCAATGTTGTCCTCCCAGACTGTCTTTACATGCTTAGGCGCCGGAATGTTTGTATAGTCCGCCTCGTCGGATCCTGACACCTGTCGCTTTTGTCCCTCAGCACGGTTGACGTACTGACCGGCAAGTTCTACCGCAAATCCCGTGACGATGGAGCGGTCGACGACTGTCTTGAATGTGAGAGAGTGGTCGGCGAGCTCCTTCAACCCCTTGTGCAACTGCTGCGCCACCTGCCGGGCCTCCGAGACCTCAGACTCTTTCCCAGGGGCTACGTAGATCTTCGCCACAGCCTTTTTTTGCTTGGCGTTTACGTACGTCTCATAGACCTCCGCCACGTCGGGGATGAGGTCTAACATGCCGTTCGTTTGCATCCAGACCAAAGTAAAAAACATAGGCTCCGACACCTGCTTGAACTCTGCGATATTGTCAATGATAGCTGTGCGCTCCCAAAAAATAGGGAGTTTGACAGAGGCGGCAGCAACCGTCTGGAAGTCCTTCAAAATAGCATCAAAGTTACCCTTCTGCTCCGCTGCCTTGTATAGAAACTTAGCGAAGAGGACACTATCACTTGGCACAATGTTCAGCGGGAACCGGGATTTGTCAAAGTCACTATCGTAGAGCTTCTTCAACTCCTCCGAAGGTGTATAGAAGCGGGCCGCTGTAACAGACAATGTGCTTGCAGAAATACGGCGAAACATACTATGCTTGTTACTTCGGCGCAACGGCAAAGACGAACAAAAAAATGGCTAAGAAAGGGTGGGGAAAGACACCATAGCCCAAATAGGAATGATGCCATGAAGAGGAAATTGGGAGGGACGAATAAAAGGTGACCGTGACAATCCCCAGACAGCATTGCATTTCTTCTGAGCACTTAATCTACTAAAATAAAATCCTACCATTTACTGCGTGTGGGGACACTTCATTCAGGCGAACCAGTTATCCAGCACGGAATCATTATTCCCTGAGGTCGTGGTTGTACCACCAGTAGATACTTTCCTCATGGGAAAAGCGCCCTGGAGCACCTTTAGTAGAAGAGGCATGATGGAACTGACGTGGTGACTTTTCACACAAAGGTAACTCTGCGCGGGGGAATTCTTGTCAAGAAGGATCTCGACCATGCCATGCAACCCGAGTGTCGTCGTCACAATGCCGTTGTACGAGACGAGTTCGCTAGACTCACGCTCTCGTGGCAAGAGAAAGAAGCGATGCCGCTCAAGAACACTGCGACGATCCAACGAGCTGAGCATATTTACACCAGTCTCGGCAAGTAGCTGTTTGGCCTCTGCCGACTGGTCGAATGCCTGCCACTTGGCCGCAAAGGCTGATCCTTCTATAGGAGTAGACACCGCCAAAAGTTGGTCCGCTGGCACATCCAGACGGAAAATTAACAGTGGCAAATTTTGCCCTTTGATACCAACCTCAATTGTTTGACGCGTAACATCGAAGTGCCGTTCGGACGTCTTGAGCGGCAGCCGTGCAGACCTTGTTTCACCCGCAGGTACTGAAGGCATAAAGTCGCCGAGACTCGCTGCCGGAAGGTAGCCCAGTATGTTCAAATTCACCTGCAGCAGAAGCTGACTAATTGGCACCGTCTGCTGATTCACCAATGCGATCCACAGTGCTGGCCCCTCCACGAGTTGGCTGTGGACGGCGACCCCAATGTTCCCCGCAGGGAGGACTAACGGCGGAAGCTGGTGCTGTTGTGGTTCTTGCAATGTTGCTGGCTGCTTCTTTTGTTCACCAAATAGGCTCGTCTCACCAAAAGAAGAGCCTTGTTGCTGTTGATATTCGTTTGGTTCGGCTGGAGCGATGGGCGTATCACCAAACAAGTTGTCTAGCGGATCCACATACTTGGCAGCAGCCGGTGCAACAGTGGTTGACATTGAAGTTGCGGTGGCGGGTTGCTCTGGTGTGGGAGCCGGGACGTGGGAGGTGGTGGCCACCACCTGAGACGCTAAGCTATTTTCCTCCGCATCCTCGTCTTCTTCCTCATTCGCGTCCTCGTTTACAAGGCCGTACGGTGGGAGGAAGGAGTGGAACGGCTTCCCAAATACCACCGCAGCTGTGTTGACGGACTTCTTGAGGTCTGCCAACTTCATAGCGTCGCTAAACGTCGACTCCGCTGCGACGGGGACTTGATGACCGTGTACAATCTGCTTCATCTTGGCCACCCCGACACCTTTGGAGAGCAGACGCCAGTAGGCGTAGGCGCGGTCACGTAGGTCAGGGTCGTCGCTGTTTGTTGTTAAGGTATCCAGCACAACATTGAGTGTCTGCTCCATCCCGGCAGGGTCGCGCAAAAACATCTTAATAACGGCACTGAGGATTGCTAGCTGAACTGACTGCTCATGCGACGTTAGTTCATCAATAAACTGCGTAATGATTTGTCTTCCATTCTCAACAAAGTCACAGAACTCACCCAACATCCAGATGAGCGACACCTTCGCTTCTTCCTCTGGGACAGTGTCAGCGCCGTGGTCGACAATGAGTGTCTCCAATACGAGCTGCTCTGGATACTTGCGGACAATGTTTTTGCAGCTCGTGATAACCTGTGGAAGCAGCTCGGGACGTGTGCCGACAATACGCAAGAGAAGACCCACGCAGCTCGGGGCAACCGATTCTATCTTCAACGCGAGTGTGGCAATGCCTCTTACCACTTCTTGGGCAAAAAGCAGATCCACCTCAGAACTATACTCCTCCAACTCTTTGACAATTTGCTGTGCGGTAGATGGGGTGACGAGCTTTAATAAAAGATGCAGTTTTTCGAGTTTCACATACGGCGGATCTGTGAAGCGTACATAAAAGGAGTCGAGATTGTTGCGGAGTATATTTGGAAATACCACAAGCACAGCATGAATATTCTTGCAAACAACATACTGCGATTCGGGGTCTCCTTTAGCAAGCGTCACCAAGGCAGAGTTCACCCGTGCGCTGCACTGACTCGCTACATCGGCGCTGCAGCGACATGCGTAGTTGGTTATCAGTTTGATGGCTCCCATCACGACGGATGCATTGCTATGGCTGAGCCGTGGCAACACACGTACGATAACGTCCTCCGCTACTGTTGTGCTCGTGGGCGGTGTATCGGCAATGAGCTCCAGTATGGACAACTGCCCCCACTCTGTGCAGTCTGAGAGGTGTCGCAGCATTCGATTGACGAAATCAGCCTCTGGCAGGATAGGGACTGATCCATAGTCGTTCACCTCAGATAAAACTGCCGCCGCATTGGCGGCCACGATGGCATATGTGTCATTCAGCAGCTTCATCAACTCCGAGGCGAACCCTTGATCGAAAAATATCTGCGAGTTTTGGTGGAACAGTTTTCCGATTCCAATAGCGACGGTTTTGCGCACGTATGGGTCGGGATCCGCGACGGCGCGGCGAAGTGGCTCCAGTGTGTACTCCGTCACCGACTCGACACGAATGCACATCATTGTGCGCACCGCAAGGGCGCGGACGATGGGAGAGCTGTTCGTTGTGTCCTGTAGGAACGTGTTAACTGCCATGAGAGCTTTGTCAGGCTGTAGCTTGGCTGTATTGAGAACATAGAGGTAGACCAGTTTTTTCAATTCAAGGTTCGGTGTTTGGCCGAGCTTCACGACGTCCATAAAGAGATAGCTCACGTCGCGGCCCAACGTCATGCCCGCTATGATTCGTTTCACCGCATTCTTCTGCTTCTCCCTATCGTTGCTGTTAAGATCGTTGTGCAACTCCACCCCCTCGCCTCGCTTAGCCGTGCCGAAAAACTTCGAGCCTCCACCGGAGCGCCAGAAGTTTTGCTGGATTTTTTCCTGCACCTTCCGCAGAACGGTGTCCATTCACTCTGCAATGACGATACGTCTACTATCACTTCCTTATTCTCCTTGATTTTGACTCTTCTTTCCACGCATGAATTGTGATGCGCGAGAAGGAGAAAATAACAGCAATGCAACAAATGGGAGTAGGCCGCAGGGAGGAGACGTTGCGGGGGCGCCGTTGTCGCCAACGCGCCGTCCCCCACTCGCTCCAATGTTGTGGCAGTAGTACAACAACTATGGCGTCAGCAATTTGGCTTGACTTGGGTGTATGTATATATGTATATGTATATGTATATATGTATATATACATATATACATATATACATACAAAAATAAAAAGAGTAAAACAAAAGGCCCCTTTCTGCCGTCGGTGCCTCATCGCCGAACAAAAAGGACATGCGCGGAAATGGGAAACTCAGAAATTTGGAACGGACTGGCGAGCTGTGTGAAGCACGCGCACGAAGAAGAATGAAAGTTGCGCCTTTACAAAGGAGGGTCGTCTTCTCCACGCAGAGGGGGAAGAAAGAAAAAAAGAAGATTGATGAGATGGAATAACATGGGAAATAGATTCGATTTTTTTCTCAGTAACTGCGTGATGAAATAATTGTGCGCGTGCGGTGTCCTTTTTTTTTCCGCGGATCAGAAACCCAAAAGAAGAAAAGAAGTGTTGAACGGGGGTGTGTGTGTGAGAGAAGCCGCCCATCCAGCCAACTGGGGAAGCCAGAACATGAGCCTCAAAAACATCAGAACTCAGAAGAGTACATCCAAAGAAAAAAAGCCAACGGAATCAGAGAACGCATGCAGCCCCGAGTGGAATGCAGTACTATAAATAACGACGACAAAAAAAAAGATCATGTTGAAATAGCATAAGCACGAAAATACGTGAAGCAACGATTTAGAGAGAGAGCGAGTGAGAGAAAGGGATAGAATGTGAAACTTCTACCGAACCAAGAAAGGATTGCCTCTCTTCTGTCCCCTCCCCCTTCTCTCCCTCCCCACGGCATCAGTGAACTGCAATATCGCAGCGGTCGCGCTGGCAGTGAATGACGCCGCTGCAGCGGGGCGACGCACGCTTTCCCGCCTCCATCTCCGGCCAATGCGGCTGCAGGCAGTAGCACGACATCACGTCGCCGTTGTCTGTCGGCACCTCCCGCAGGTTGAGGTGACTCGAGCTGCGGATGTACTCTGGCACAGTAATGTGCTCCTCGTTCCTGCGCTGCACAAGGTCCTTTAAGAGGCCAAGGATGGTGTGCAGTGTATGGTCCTCCAGCTCACCGCCCTCATAGTCTGCCACGAGGACGCCGTTCTGCTCGAATCCACGGATGCAATCGGGTGTGTTCTCGAACAGAATTGTTGTTTGTGTATCTCGGCCCAGAAGGCTCAAGTCTTTTCGACACGAACTCCCACTAAACCATTTACTGTCGCGGTATATTGTATGGTGCACAGTGCGGTTCGTGTCAATCTGACGGACTACGGCCTCGGCGTATTGCTTTATCCCTGCCGTCCAAACCACCGTTTCACAGTTTTTTTCCAGGAATTGAAGGAGCTCTTCTGTACCGGGACGCACGTAAAGCGGCCCTTCTCGTGCATACACAAGTGTTTCGTCAAGGTCCAGAACGACCGTTATGCGATCAGCCAATTTGCTCTCCTTGGGCGCGATGAGTGCGTGCGTCGTTGCCATACCCTGTGGAGGCGTTTCCCGTCGTGTCCGACGCAGCGCAGCGCATGCGTACTCTTCCTTGAAGCTCGCGCCTCGCACCCGTTGCAGACGCATTTTTTGCTATACTTCTTCTGCTTCCTATAATTCCTCGGAATAATTTTTGGCCAGACAGAGAAGTGGGAGACAAACAGTGATAGGAACAGGGGATCTACGCCTTAGCTGCTGTAGTGGCAACGTACCACGGTGCAGAAGACTCACGCCCTTTATGTCAGATGTGACTCATCCATGCAGCGGACGTTCAGCTTGGTCTCTTTTCTTCATTCGCCGTCCTTTCCCGGAAGCCATACTATTGCCTCCCAGATTGGATTGGAGAGAAGCCACACTACCGAGCATCAGCGGCATGACGCAGACGGCGAATGTCACCGCGCCTCACTTCCCTTCCCGCTTCCTTCGGCTACACACACATCTCTCAACGGCAACTGGTGAAACGGACTTGTGACCTACTAGGAAATGCGCACAAGAAAACACCACTTTGCGGCCGTTCCTTCTCCCCGCTCACAGCAGCACGCTCCTCGTAATCATGTAATATATATTTTAGTTGCCTGTGTGCCTAGTCTCGAACAGTATCATTTAGGTATCGGTGACACACACACACACACGGCACGGCGTGGCAGACTGTGTGCGATGCACACACAGAGGCGCCATGCCACGCGCACCAATCCCCCTCAAAGTATCGCCCACCAAGGGAACGAGCTTTGCCCGTTTTATGGAGCCGATTGCCACACCAGCCGGCAAACAGCAGCACGACCCATTGAAGTTTCGCAATACCCCAGAAGGTTTTCTCATCGATGCAGAAGCATACAGTGAGAAAAAAAAATGCAAAAAGGAAATGTGGAGGGAGAAACGGAAACTCGAAAAAAAAAAGGAAGGAGTCTGCAACCACACTGTAAAAGTAAAACAACAACAACAACACAAATTCAACCGCCACGATCCCAAATCCCCATCTTCCTTTGCTGACTCCCCAAGAGAATCAAGGGGGTGTAAAATACAGAAAAGGAGCAATACATCTCCTCACTCCAGCAAAGCAGCAAGGTTGTAGTCTGATATCAAAAATTGACTGTGATCTCGCAGCACATAGTGTCGACAGCCCATTTCCTTCAGTCGGCTGGCAATCCGATCAAAACTCAACACTTCCTCCGCGTTGCGAAAACTATACTGGGCAGAGTACCCGCTGCGCTCATCTTCACCCTCACTGTAACAGAGGTTAGCACTGCTGCCATCTAAAACCGTACCATTGTCAAGGAGACGTTCCCACGGTACCTCGCTTGTGAAGAGCAGCTTTACGTTGTGCTGATACAACTCATCTACGAGAATAATAAACTGCTGCGCGGCGTTTTTGCTAACTACGCCGATCTGCGGAACATTAGTAAGTATGATGGTGTGAAAGGACTTGGCAATGCACTGGAAGTCGGGGGGCCCGAGGGGCCCGCAGATGTCCGAGAAGTCGAACAGTGCCACGCCGACGCAGTGAAAGGGCACGATCAGTTCCCTGCCGTAAAGCCAGATGGTCGCGCCCTCTACCCACGTGCAGCTCTGCGTGAAGCCCCGTTCCACTCGGTGAAGAAGTCGCTTCGCGTTTTCCTTGGTGTTTGGATAGAGAAATAAGTGTTCGTGGTGACTGCTCGAGGCATTCTCGCGGTGATCCTTCGTGCCGTTGCAGTGCATAACTTCACAGTGGTGCCACAGTACCGGGACGAAGCGCTCGAACGCCGTTGAGATGCGCGTCAACTCCTGCGGTGGGCGGTTGCTTGTCGTAAACACAATCAGCCCGCGTGGCATAGCCCGAGAGAAGAATGCCGCCAACAGCGACGCGTGTGTGACATCGAATGTCTGGAACTCATCGAGGCAAAGAATCGGTGATTCACACAGCACGTCGTCCACCACACGATCAATCGGAGAGACACACGCTTTCCGCCCCATCTCTTTCTCCGCTCTGCGCAGACGAAGGACAATATCCGACATGAAGGAATGGAGATGCGCTCGCCGCTTCGTGAATCCCGGGGTGTCACATAACTCGAAGAGATCCATTATAACCGTTTTGCCGATGCCAACACTTCCCCAGAGGTACATGCCACTCTTCTGGTCAACACCCACATTCTCTGGCCAGCCAATCGCCACGTCCCGCGTTGTCCGATCGGGAAATGCGTGGCGCAGGACAGTGGACTGCATGCGCCACAGACCGTCCCTCACAACACGACCAACAGCAGAAGTGACAGCAGTTGGTGGTGATAGGCCGCTAGTTGTTAAATCATTCTTTTCTTTCTTCAGCGAGCTGATGTATTCCAGCAACGGGGTGCAGGCATGCGCCATTGCCCTCTGTCCAGGGTCAT